AAACAAAGTACCTCCAGAGCGTATTTGCGTTCATCATTAGAGGACAGCCTAAGCAGAGCTGGGGTGCTTGGCAGCACAGTGCTTGACTAATGTCAGCAAACATCATGCTTCAAGCTCGGAAATGTCATTGAATCTTGTCCCCAACTGTGAATCTCTTCCAGGTCCTGGCCTGCTGCTTCCTCCACCAGATGCTGACATATTGGTGCATTACTTATCCTGCACACTTTCTGTTTTCTACAGGAATTCACTACCGGTATCAGAAGCAAAAATAAAGATAACCAAAAATGATCTGCTACAAGAAGTATTTTAGCTTTGCAGGTGCAAACCCATGGCAGAAATGAACAAATAAGGGGAATCTTCTGACGGTGCTCTTCTCCTGCATATGTGCTTGCATCTGCATTTTTGCTTGAAGCCTTGTCATCTTCACAATATATTTCACTATGTTCAAAAGCATAATTTTTAAAGGGCTCTCAAGAGTAAGAAACAACCCATGGGATTTATTCCTCTGCTTCACTAAGAATCATTCGCTTGTCAGAAGCCGCACTGCTCTCCGGATCAGCTGGTTCTGCAGAGAAAAAACATATCACATGCGCACAGAAAATCCCCGAGTCACCTCTCTACATTCTGATTGATCTTCTCCATGTTGAAGCAGGGAGAAGCTGGGGGCCTCGGATGGGCCTTGCTGTTCAAGAATTGATGCCATCAGGCATAGGTAGCAGGAAATAAAGCTTAGGAATATAATGATCTAACAAAACGTTTACCAAGTGCCACTACTGCTCCTACCCAAGTGGTGCCTCAACAGACCATGCCGAGATGGTGCACATTCTCTTTCCAAGCCCTGTTGAGGTCCAGGTGGGTATAACGGACTTACACAAACAGAGCAGTTGTTACCTTACACTGCCACTTACATGTTATCATGAAGTATGTGCCTGTCACAAGCACTGGCCCAGTACTGTGGAATTTGGTTAATATGGCCTGGTGTACTTAAGACAAACCTCTGTTTCATCTCTTGAACCTCTGCAGTAGCTCACTTCATCACAGGCATCTACAGTCCCACAGACACCTGTACTGGCATTCCTCTCACCTAACTATAGGTAACTGCTGTGTACGTTTCTACATCTAATCTTGATAGCAGGGCTTCCAGGAGAGTTCAAGGGTCTACAGTCATGGACTGAAGCCTGTAGGTTGTGTGGTCCACACAGACAGTGAAGTCAACAGCACAGTCTCTTAACAGCCACATATGGTTGGATGACTATAGTCCTTTGGCTTCAATGTGACACGGTGTTAAGCTTTTATTCTGTTGACTTCTGAAGCCAGGGGAGTTGAACCCTAGCCTCAGAAGTCCACACACCCTATTTCTGGTGGGAGTTAGCTCTCCTATGCTCTTTGAGGCACCAAATCTCCACAGTCCTGGCTGGCCCCACCTAACTGATGTCATGGTTTATTGATTAATTAAGGGCTAGGTATGATCTAAGTTGGGTGCCAGAAGCAGTACAGCCACACACATTGCCTTCCTTACCGTAAACACCAAGGAAGCCAACTCCAGCATGAGGCCCCAAAGCCCCTTCCTTCCCTGTGCTCTTTACCAATACCACTGTAGTACTCACAATCAGAAAAGAAGGGCAAAAGTATGGGCAAGTTCCCTGCTTTTAGCAGGGAGGAGGGCAGAGCCATGTACAGGGAGCTGGGAGCTGTCCCTCACCGTGTGCTGCTGCCACCACCCTTCCCACCCAGGTGCCAATTTGCTACCACCTTCAGCAGCAACTGAGCATCCTCCTCCTCCTGCTGCACTGCCCAGCTCCCCCAGCCCCACTCTGGGGCCACAGGCTCCCCTAGCAGGGGCCATTGGGGCCACACAGGGCTCGTATAATTAGACTAACTTGAGTCATTCATTATGAGCAATTTGCATGCACATTTGTGGGATTTTTTTCCTTCTTTTTTTTTCCTGATCACTAATTAGGAGACCTTTAACTTCAGCTTATTCCCTGCAGAACTGACCTGGGTGGTGAGTCTGCCATTTTGCCTGCCCCCATTTTAGGGCTGAACACTCATTAGTTAATATGGTGCCTTTGCTGGTATGAGGCTGTAAAGCTGGAGTACTTTATAATTTCAACGTGATTTGCTTCAGGCATGAACCCTGCTTATCCTTTCATTCACATGGGGAAATAAATGTAGCTGAATCAGTTACACTAGTGTTAATTCTCTACAAATTAATCCAAAATTATCCTTTTCATTGACTGTCGAGCCTGTTTATACAAATGAAACTGTGAAAAGCTGAGTGTCTGATTATATGCTTTTCACCAGTGTACTTTTTGTTCATAAGGTCAGAACATTTTATGTAAATGAAATCTAGGTTGTGGGCTGTTTGCACACTCATCATTTTAAATATGCCATTGCCCTTATAATGTTTGTTACTGTTAGTCTGTGACTGGCTATTAGGTTCACATGGTACTGTTATGCTTGTTTATGGCTGATATTTGCACATAGGAAGAGTTTGAAAAATAAAGCGTGCATTTGTCCTATGAACTTCAGACACCTGACATTCAAGTTAGAAGTGTGGCTGCCCTGAGCTATTTCTATGATAATAAAATCATCTACCTCCCCAGGCCATATTCATAGCACTTTGCCTGGTCTCTTCTATGCTCTCTTTAGTGTTCCTGTGCACAGGAGGTGTTTTTACCTCTTGAAAGAGCCTGGGATAATGTGAAAGAAGTACCTAAAAACGAAGGCATTTTTTCCTGACTTTCTCAAAGGCCATGGCATGAAACAGGGGAGTTAGGAAACCAGGGTAACTGGAAGCTTGTGTAGGGCAGAGGTCTGACTGTATGATCAAGGTCTATAAAAATAATGAAGAAAAAAGGGTATATCAAAAGTAATATGCAACACTTACCGTACTGCTTATTTTCTATGTGATTGGACCTGATGGGCTTTTGATTGACTTAGTATTTGATTCTGAGTCAGCTGGAATTGCTGGCCCCTGCATGCTAGTAGAACGTGTTTGTCCATCTGAATGATAATCTGATGGTGGTTGCTTTTTATTGTGTGTTTATCTTTCTTCATAAGGCAGTATCTATTATAATTTTTCCTTAAGTATTTCTAAATTGCATAACATTCAGAAGCTACCTGGTCTTGCATAGCTCTGACCCTTATTTGTACTGTGTCTCTAAAAGCAAGATTTTTGATGTGTGTGTAAACAGTGAAAAAAGGAACTTTTCATAGCAAATGTCAACATGAAATAACTTTGGCACTGCAAACTGTATGTGTCTGAAACTCAGTCTGTTTATTGTCAGATTGAGTGCTAACAGTCTTTGATGAAAAAATGTTGAAAAGCATTAAAGGCTTGTTCCTTCAGGCTTTGTTCAAATAAAATTGCCACTGCTGTCATATGACCACAGGAATAGTCACTTTTAGTTACTGGTAAATGTAAAACGCTGCTCGCTTTTCTAAACCAAGGCATTGCTTTGGGCCAGGTTGTGATCCCAAATAGTCTGTCAGAGGTCCATATCAACCACACTGCTTATTAAGCAGCAATATATGTAATTTAAGCAGGTTTTATAGAGATGTCCAAGAAAGAGGCCCTCCTATTTGTCTAGTCATCTCTAAAGAGAACTTTCATAGAGCTGTTCACCTATGGAATGACTTCTCTAATAAGATAGGGTTAGAAATTGGTGCATGCTTTTTCCTCCAAGCAGGCCACTTAGAAACTATTTAAGATCTGTATTAACTTCTGGGCTGCCCTCTATATATTTGTTCAGTTCTTTTTTAAGGAGGCTTTTTAAAGCAACTGCCTGGGGACTTAGAAATGTACTGACAGCTTTGTCCTTCTACCAAAGCCATGCTCACTGAGAATTCAGGCTACAAACAGAAATGCCATCACATTTTTGTGATTTTTGAAGGATGGAGATAGTGATGTCAGATAAACCATAGTGTTTCAGAAAGAGAGAAAAAAAATATATATATATTGCCAAGGTTTCTAGAAAGAACTGGGCTTTTAATTTCTTTGAATTCACAGTTTGAGGTCATTCATCCAGCTCTATTTTAAGCGACACCAATATAAAATGTGTTTTTCAAAATTAGAGCAGTACTTGAGGTATAACTGGTCTATTTATGCATTGCTTAGATGAGCTGCTGCTACTATAGAAAAATCCTGGCTTTCAAGCAACTTCTCTGCATTTTCACTGCATTATAATCCCCTTTGTGTTGGGAGAGACTGCAGTTTGTAGGATTCCTTAAGTGTTTGTGCTTCCCATATTATAGAATGTAGTAGAAAAAGAGGATTTCTGGTGCAGCTTGCAATTTTGAAGTCTGAAATGCTTTCAGAATAGTAATTCCAGAAGCTTTCTGCAGTTTAGCCCTGAAAAACATTGCTTAGATAGCTGGGATAAATCTGCAATTTGGCTGAAGACTCTCTAAGATAGGGGTAAATTCTGTACACAGCCTTCTAGAGACACATTCAAACAGAAAAATGTAAAGGAGAGAGTTTAGGAACTCTAATTTCAAAGATACTTCTTACAGATATTTCTAGAAAAACTATGATCTGAGTGCAAAAACCTTTACAAGAAGAGAGATTGACAGGACTGATAGGACAAGGGGTAATGTGTTTAAACTTAAACAGGGGAAGTTCAGGTTAGATATAAAGAAGAGGTTCTTTACTGTGAAGGTGCTGAGGCACTGGAACAGGCTGCCCAAAGAGGTGGTAAATGCTCCATCCCTGGCAGTGTCCAAGGCCAGGCTGGAGAGAGCCTTGAGTGACGTGGTCTAGTGTGAGGCATCCCTGTCCATGGCAGGGGGGTTGGAACTTGATGATCTTAAGATCCTTTCTAACCCTAACTATTCTATGATTCTATGATTGCCTGTAAGGATTTAACAGGGCTGTGAAGCTGTAAGCTGTATACTTCTGACCAGTTCTGTCCTGCAAATAAATACTGTAGAACTATGATTTGCTTAGTAGGGTTCTGTTGAAATTGGGTTTTATTTATATTTATTTGACGTGTTAAAAAAACCCCACTGGTTTCTGTTGAAACTACCTGTGTGACTACATACAGAGTGATACCCGTCTTTAGTGCATAGTCAGGTTTATGTGCCTTTTCTGTTTTACAGGTTGCGAACACAAAGAAGGAGACTGTTTTCAAGTGGTATAAGGATGGTTCTGGGATTGATCTTGATGAGGTGCCTGATCTGCAGAAGGAAGAATGTCACCTCAGTATTCCCGGGGTACAGTATCACCTCTTGTTAGAATTGATAGTTTCTGCTTGATGTGCTATAGATTTGCCAGGCAGAGCACTAAACCAGTTATCATGATTTCTGTGAACTATTTTAAGGAAAAGCATATTTGCTATCCTTCAATTATCTGGTAAGTAACTAATGCTAGTGAAAGAGTATCTATTTTTGTTATCAGCTCAGACAGTTCATGCTTAAGTTGCTTCAGTGTCATTAGGTGAACTCTGTCTCATTCTTTCTTATTACTCTTTAATTTTTCAGTTTGTTAAAGCACCTTAGTTCTGACAGTGTTTCAGTTTTATTGCCCCAAATGAATAGGATTAAGGTATATGCTTATTTAAGATTTATCTTTATGCAAACAGGATAACCTGACTTGTTAGGTGTCTGAAGCCTTAACTTGCATAATTGCTGCCTTCAAAGTCCAACACCACCCTAGACTGAAATTATCTGCCTACTGTGCATTCCATTTAATTGATATTTTATTTCTTGGTTTCTTATTATTCTAATTTCTTTCCTCCATTTCATCTGCAAATGGACACTGACTTTCCAGTGGTTTCATTTTTCTTGAGCAGACCTTCTGGAGGGAAGTTTTTCTCTTGTCTTGAATTGTTCTTGTTATTTGTCATTCAATTATATAATGTTTCTACTATGATTTACTTGCTTATAGATTTGTGTAAGTCTAAAACTCAATTAGACAAGATCCAAACTATATGTAATATGTAATATCATGTATTTTTCTTCAGGTTTTAAAACAAATTAAGATAACCCCACTTAAACCAAAAACTCCTACCTTAAACACAGTATCATGGTGTTAAGATTTTAGAATGTGAGCTTTCCAAGAGTAATGATTTCTTTATTTAACATAGATACAATTTTACTACAGTTGCTGCTTTAATGAAAGCTATTGAGATGGTATTTGGACAACTAAAGGGTATACATCTGTTATGCTTTACATAGATTGATAGAAAAAAGTAATAGTTTTGGTTAAAGAAAAATTGCATTTCTAAAGTTTGTGTTGGTTAAAGTTGCCCTCTGTTGCATCTTACTACACTACTTGTATTTTCGACGGACTGGGATCAATCCTGTTTGTCTTTCTGGAATAAGAGGAAAAGCACAGTTTCTTAAGGCAATTGGACTGAAATAAGAATATCTTTTAGGTTTAAAAACTAAATGCAGGTCCATAAGGAAGCATGTACAAGCCATTCATAGTTTGTCTAATCTCTCATAAGATTATTTAGCCAGAATTCAGTACAATGTATGTTTTTTAGTTTAGGAAATCATGCAGGGGTTGAGCAAATGTTGTACTATTATCAAGTTTGCCAGTAAACATCTTGTATTTTCCTTGTAGCTGTCTCGCAAGGACGAAGGAGTTTACAAGGCAACGCTATCAGATGACAGAGGTCATGATGTATCTACTCTTGAATTATCAGGAAAAGGTAACATTCAATTTACTATATTGAAATAATGATCACATGTTTCCAAGAGGTGTCAAAGGTCTATCCTTGCAAAAAGCAAGTTAGCAATTTATTTTTGGGATGCTTTGAGTTGCAGTTCTCTTCATATGTTACAGAGGCCTGAACTGCATATCACCAGTTTAGGAAAGGAGACACCGGGCACTGTAATGATTAATCTTTATCACTCTAACAAGCAAGAAATGAAGTAAGTTTCTAATGAAACAGATACCCCCTTTTATATGAAATCTTTTGTAGAGAGCTCTCTTTCTTTCAGACTTTTTAAGCTTTAATGTCTACAAGAACCCCTAAAGCACCAAAGTGCTCAATATGTTGATATGGGACTGTCAATGGGGACTGAGAGTTGTTTTGATTGTAAAATCCTAAAGCTGTTTTGTGAGTTAACTCCACAGCAGCTCAGCCCTACACAACCACTTTCTCACCCTCCGTCTCCCTCCCATCTTACCCTTCTCCCCTCTACCTCCTTGGTGGGATGTGGGAGAGGACTGGAAGACTCGTGAGTTGAGATAAAGACATTTTAATGGGTAAAGCAAAAACCACACACACAAGTAAAGCAAACCAGGAAATTCATTCACCATTTCCCATTGTCAGGCAGGTGTTCAGCAATTTCCAGGAAAGCAGGGCTCCATCATGCATAAGAGTAACTTGAGAAGCTGAAACATGATCAGTCTGAACATCCCCTGTTCTACCTCCTTCCCCCAGCTTTTATTGCTGATCATGATGCCACATGGTCTGGGATATCCCTTGGAGTCAGCTGGGGTCAGCTGTCCTGGCTGTGTCCCCTCCCAAATCTTTGTGCACCTCCAGCTTACTCACTGGTAGGTCGGTTGAGAGCAGAAAAGGCCTTGACTCTGTGTAAGCACTGCTCAGCAATAACAAAAACATTGCTGTGTCATCCATGCTGTTTTAGCCACAAATCCAAAACACAGCACCATACAAGCTGCTATGAAGCAAAGTAACTCTGTCTCAGCCAAAACAACTATCATCTCCATCCTTTATTCCATACCATTTATGCCATGCTCAGGTCCCACACTATCCAAGACATCCTCATTAACCACCTCCTCCCTTCCTGTTCTTTGATATATACACATATCATTCCTTTAATCTATGGATTTTCAAGTAAGGGACATCATGACCACTGGAATAAATAAAAAAGCATGGCAGTTCTCCATTTTACAGTCTGGGGTTCTTCCAGCTTCCAGAGTCTATACTTCAACTATGGTAAGACTGTGGTGTGCCAGAAATGTAGGCTTGCCATATTGAGGAATGCCTATTTAGAGAATTCAGTGCCTAATTCTGTAGGTCCAGAAGGCTTTGAAAATGTCAGCCAGCAAAACCATGAGAACTGTGGTGTTAAATCAAACAGTGGGCCTCCTAAACGATGGAATTAACCTTGATATGTAAAAGATAAGGAGAAAAATTTAACATGAACAGGGCCTTGGAAGACTGCATATTTTATGGAGCTGGTTAGTTCAAGCTCAGTATGTATTGACATTCAAATGAAGACAAATGTAAATAAAGGTAAAATAATTTACTCTAAAATATACCAGTGATAGTAATTTAAATAACCTTTAATAAGTTATCAGATATTACAGTGATCTACTGTATTTCTATGTCTAGCTAAATGTGTTCAGTTAAAACAAAAGTTTAGTTTACTTCTGAGTCTGTAACAAAGACTGATCTGTAGCCAACATAAATGTTTTTTATTCAGCTTTGCTTCTTTGCTTAGGTCCCACTAACTAGTCCAAAGTGAACCTTATTACATCCCACCTGCATGTAGACATTTGACCTAAATAATGAATATTTTTTTGCTGAGTCCTAATAGAGAGAGAAAGGCATGTTTTAATATTAATTCAGTTTACCAAAGATCTTCACATTTTTTTTAGGAGGCTGGGGAAATACCTGAAATAAGAGGAAAAGGTGAATACCAGACCGAGTTCTTAACCTGTGGTTTTACAGCTTAAGAACCCAGACTTTAACTCAGAAGGCTGTATCATCTCTTGATAGTCTTTCAGGTGTTTTTTCTCTGTATAAATTCTGCCCATTATTCTTTCAGAAAAAGTTACAATTTAGACAGCATAAGTAATATAACCCCAGTTTCCCAGACATCTATAATATAATGTATATATAGTATGCAATTCATATCCTCATGATAATATACCAGTAGAAGCATACTGGAGTTTTCAGAGGGTTACAGAATTGAATCACTATTTATTTTAGGAAAGATAAATAATGTGAAGATAGGGACCAATACAGACCAAATATACAAGTAACATTTTCTGAACTTCATGCATTTCACTGTTGCCCCTATTTATAAAAATTCTTCAGCCTTGAATATGTATTCTTCAGATTATGGCACTTTTTTCTTTTTCTCTCTTTCCATTTTATGCAGTGATATTGAATAGGATTCTTCTGCTGTGAAAGTTTCCTTGCTTTTCTGCCCCTGTCTCCAGGGTTCTCCCCTCCTGCAAGCCCATCAGCTGTGTGATACTGCAAAAGCTTAATATGATATTTTTTTCATTTGCTGTTAAAGGGGTTTACATTTGTCAAATACTGTCTTACAGGGAGCAGGTGAAAACTATTTTCACCTAGAATGTCATAATTTCTATTTCCCCTGTACTCTCCTTTGAATGGGAGCTATCCAGTTTTAATGACCTTTTATGTTTCTGGCTTGAGGGATACAAAGAGAGAGAGAAAGATTTGACAGCAGTCAGCTCACTCCACACACAGTGCAGATACTGAGTGACGCAGCACAGAATTCATATGCTGTACTCGGTCTCTAATTTGTCCCATACACCTGTTGCAATTTTAATGGTTTTCTTTACCTAAGGATGTGCAAATTTCCTGTGTTTCTTTAATTAAATTTTACATAACAAAGTTATGCTCTGATTGAATTTTTATGGTGCATTTTCTTTCTTTTTTTTTTTTTTTTCTCTTCAGTGTATGAAGATATAATTCTGGCATTGAGTGAAATCAGTGGTAAGTAAATGCTGTCTTGGATTTCCTTGTAGGTTTTTTATGTTAAAGTCACCTGAGCCTGAGGCAGACAATTTTTATTATAAGTGGGAAATCTCTGAGAGTCATGATGCTTATATTATTACATACATGTTATTAAGTTTCTGAATTAGCAGTTGACCTTGCTAATTGACACTATTAAAAGGGAACAATGTATTATTCCACCTGGATTGTTTGATTTAGATACTGTGACAATTCTGTAGCAGTAATTTTCTTCCCATAAGTAAGTGAACCTTGATACAGAGAGAATGAGATGCTGATCCTGCTCCCAGTGAGAAGTTGGGTGGCATTCCACTGAAAGAACAGGGGTTGCACAAGAAGAAAATTTTTGTGCTGTTAGAATCATGACACTACAGTTTCATGGCAATTACATGACTAGCTTATTTCACAACAGATCTTTCTAGTCATAATGCTTGAAAATGACAATAAAGCCATAAACTTATACTGAACTTTCACATGATATAAACGAGCAGATCTCCTTTGAGAGGCATGAGCAATTCTCTCTTTGAGATAGTTGAGAATCATGGCCCATATTTTTAATTTTCATTTTTTGACCTGACAGTACAAGTAGTCCATTTGACTTTCTCCTGTTCATTCCACTATCCTGTTTGATCTGTATATATCCTATTTCACATAGGTAAGTCGGCCTCTCCACTGAAGATCCTTTGCACTGACGAAGGAATAACACTACAGTGTTTCTTGAAGTACTACAATGAAGAAATGAAAATCAACTGGTCTCACAGGTACATGAGACTATTTTTTCAAATTTATATGAGAAAAAAGATCATTCTTTATGCAATTTTACCATTATCTGCACATCATATAACACAACATGCAGATTTCTAGCTTGTTTTGAATCATCCAACACACTGCATAACAGGGAACATAATACAAGTCCTAAAGCCAGCATGCATCGTCCTCTCAAGGCACATTGGGGAATATTATGTTTAGTATTTTCTAAGGTAGTAGTTACTCTCCTGGTATCTAATTTGGTATGCTAAACTCAATACAGTCATCTTACAGAAGGGAAAATAGTGAAAATTCCTCTCCCCATCAAAGTCACTTTTGCTATGAAACCAAATCAGCCTTGTCTGGACAAATAAAAAAAGTGATCAAAGGGAAGCTAATGCTGACTTCATCTATTAAAAATTCCAATTAAGATGCTTGGGGAGGAAGGATAAAAGAAATATTTCTTCAGTTAGTGAGTGGAAGAGAACTTTTCTTCAAAGAATTAAAAGTGTCCTGCTTTACATTATGTTTTACACACGCTTGTGAGTTGGGCTCATGCCAACCTTATGAAGTTTAACCATGCCAAGTGCAAGGTCCTACATCTGGGTCCGGGCAATCCCAGACACAGCTACAGGCTGGGCAGAGAAGACATTCAGAGAGCCCAGTGGAGAACGACTTGGGGGTGCTGATCGATGAGAAAATGAACATGAGCCGGCAGTGTGCGCTTGCAGCCCAGAAAGCCAACCATATCCTGGGCTGAATCAAAAGGAGTGTGACCAGCAGGTCGAAGGAGGTGATCCTGCCCCTTTATTCTGCTCTTGTGAGACCTCACTTAGAGTATTGTGTGCAGTTCTGGTGTCCTCAACATAAAAAGGACATGGAACTGTTGGACTAAGTCCAGATGAGGGCCACGAGAATAATCAGGGGACTGGAGCACCCCCCGTATGAAGATAGGCTGAGAAAGTTGGGGCTGTTCAGCCTGGAGAAGCTGTGTGGAGACCTCATAGCAGCCTTCCAGTATCTAAAGGGGGCCTATAAAGATGCTGGGGATGGACTCTTCATTAGGGACTGTAGTGATAGGACAAGGGGTAATGGGTTAAAACTTAAACAGGGGAAGTTTAGATTGGATATAAGGAGGAAATTCTTTCCTGTTAGGGTGGTGAGGCACTGGAATAGGTTGCCCAGGGAGGTTGTGAATGCTCCATCCCTGGCAGTGTTCAAGGCCAGGTTGGATGAGGCCTTGGGTGATATGGTTTAGAGCGAGATGTCCCTGCCCATGGCAGGGGGGTTGGAACTTGAAGATCTTAAGGTCCTTTCCAACCCTAACCATTCTATGATTCTACATGCTCTCATTAAGTAGCTTCTTCTATTTCTACTCTAAATGACAGATTATGGACCAGAAGAACCCCTGATCTGAATCAGTAGGGCAATTCTTATATTCTCAGCTGAGAAAGGGATGATAAGACAATAGAATGCCACTGTTTATTAAAGACCTATTTATTAATTCAGTTAGAAAATTTGCTTCTTCTTAAAAAACCCACCAAAGTTATATTTTGACTTGATGCAAGAGCAATACATTCTATGCAAGTATTTTGTTTTCTTAATTTTTGAAGTTAATGAAAGATAAAGATTTTTCTTTCTCGTCAGAAAAATTTTTTGCTTCAAGTTTGGTACTCTGATGTATTCTATGTTAATGTGTATGAAATGTACAGAACTCTAAATTTATGTACCATTTTCCCATACTCACATGTATGTGTAATAAGGCATAAAGCTGATTGTATATGTGGAGAGAAAGGTAATGAGCAGAAGGTGAACAAATTAATCTTTGCCATTTAAGCTCAAGCTAGTCTTCCAAAGTGTTTTATAGTCCTACATGAAAGAAACGAATCTTCTGGGAAATTGCTCCTGTTAGTTGCTGTTCATTTGTAGATTAGGAATGGGATGCTATTCTTTGTAACTTACAGATGATCTCTTACGGAGAATATATATATTTGAAGAATGTTCATAAACATTTCTATTTTTTTTCTAGGGAATCTAAGATTTCTTCTAGTGAAAAGATGAAGATTGGAGGTGGAGAGAATGTTGCCTGGCTGCAGATACGTGAACCCACTGAAAAGGATAAGGGGAACTATACCATTGAGATCTTTGGCAACAAGGAATCCTACAAACGCACACTTGATCTGTCTGGGCAAGGTATATTTAGAAGACCATACTTCTGTGGTGACTTTTTGTGGATTAAACAGAATTTACTGGCAAGAACTTGAGGAATGATGGTAAAACCAGAAAGCCTTTGATCAGAACCAGCTGTAGTTTAGTTGCACAACTTTTATGGTAGTTTTAGTTTTTTATCTGTTTCCACCACAAATGGCATGGGGTTTCAGGAGGTTGGTTTTCTGTTTTGCTACTGTGTAACCCTGCATGGATTTTAAAAGATCTTTAACATGGATATCTGTTTAATTGTTTATACTGAGCCTCAAGTGCAAGTTATGTTAATGGGCAAAACTCTCAATTGTTTTGTTACAGCTTTTGATGATGCATTTGCAGAATTCCAGAGACTCAAGTAAGTGCTACATCTGTTGCATTTTAATGCTGTAGCAAGTGTCTTTACTTACAAGAAAAAAAAATCATTAATATTTTTATTAATAACAATAATTATTTCTTTCTTCTTCCTCAACAATTTTAGGGCAGCTGCTTTTGCTGAGAAGAGTAAGTTTATTTTACATTTTATCAAAAGTATTCTACAATCTAGACAAGCATTCTCTTTAAGGCATCCATCATCATATGCTACCATAACTTTCAGAGTTCTGTGGCTGCAGAAATTCTCTGTTGGCATATAATACTGCAATAATACTAATTTGTGGATTTATTTGTTTCTTATTCCAATGGCAACCCACTAAATTTTTAAACGTTTTGAAAACCTTCACTGTATCTTGTATCTGCAGATATTTGTGAACTATAAGCTATAAGGAGGTGTTAACTCTGAAAGCTGCTGCTAATATTGAGTATTTAAATCTATCTATGAAGTAAAAAATTAGCTGCTAATGCCTGTTGGGCAGTGTTTGCTGAGAGACACACAGTAGGGAACCTTATTACTGTTAAGGGCTTTAGGAATTCTGGTACTTTGGTATCAGTTCCCCCAGTAATGACAAGATGCTTCTGTCCACAGAGAGTATGGCAGAACAAATCTTCCTTCAATCTTAGATATCATTAAGATGCTAAAAACATCCTCCTAGCTTTGCTCTGCGCCCAAAGCACAAACTGTCAAGTTCAGCAGTAGCTTCAAGGTTGTTATGTGTATTAGTTTAGAATGCTATAGCACAATCACAGCTAAAGAAAAAGAGGCGACCACAAAATGTATTAAGAAGAAATAACACAAAATATCACAAAAGTTGTGGGTTTATACATTTAATTATCCAGGAAGTAGTATTTTAAAATATAAGTTTCAACAAAAGCTGTGACTAATATGATGCGAAGTCATAAAATTAGTAAGAAATGAATAATTTTGAGTTCTAAACCTTACATGGCCCATATATTTTTCTTTAACTCCTAGATCGTGGTAAAGTCGTTGGTGGTTTGCCTGATGTCGTTACTATAATGGATGGGAAGGTAAGGAGAGTTTTTGTCAAAGAATCATGCTGACTGGTGAGAAGTTTGCTTTTATGGTAAAAGGGGAGGGAATGCAGATGATTTCATAGAAGCTGAAAGCACAGGAAGATAATTTAAACCATGTGATAGTAATCATTTAATTAAGACACACAAATTCTAAGTAAGCAAAGGTACTATAAGCTGTCTGTGCAGCGAGAGGAAGCACAGCCCAATTAAAATCTTAGGCAAGCAAGGTCTGTCTCAGAAGGAATCAGTCTTACAACAAGTTTGAAAGTCACCAATCTGTGGAAAGCAGGAAAGTATACTGGGAATAAGATAATGCTATTTACCCTTTGTATTTTTGTGTACTGTCTTAAGCAGTTGCTTTTGACCTCTAAAAGAGTTAGATGGACTTTCATTCCAACAGACTACAGCAGATCAGCTCATGAGCCAATGGGACTCTTACTATCTGCAGGCTATCAAAAGCATGTTGATCAGGCTGTTTATGTCTCTTGTATGAAGTAAATCTTCAGAGACTACAGCTGCATTGCTCTGCATGGAAATTCTTAGCACTGGAGTAAGAGGTTGCACACAGTTCTTCCAAGTCTCGTGTACTTGGCCATTTTCTGGATAGTTGGGAGCAGCCATTCTAGGACGACAGGGAACATGTGGACCTTATACTGGATGCTGAAAGATGTTCAACTCTGAACCATACAAAGATAATATTCCTTTCGGTTCATTCCTTCCTTTATCTCTAACACTGGTTTACATGAGGGACCTTATTGTGGTAGACAGAGGCACCTCACAGCAAGAAAGCAGAGAGCTAGTCTTTTAGGAGGTTATGTGTAATGCACTCTGCAACCAACATCTTTAAACAGCCTAACTGTAAGTAAACAGCTCACTGGAGTCACTCCTGACACACAGGAGCTGCAGTTTCCTCATACATTCATACCTTAAAAACTACAATTAAAGAAATGCTACAAAGTTCAGAATCAGAAGTCTTCAAAGGAGACTTAGTGATTGAGGATTAAATAACTGAATATGTGAAGAGAAAATCTCTTATTCTTGCAATCAAGCAGAAAGGAGCAGATCACAAGGAAGTGAGACTTTAAAATCATCTTTAAATTAAATTCTAGCAGGTACCCTGCAAGAGCTGTGTAAGTGCAAGTGTGAGAAGTAAGTATAAAATTGAAAAAAGAAAAAAAAGAGAGTTTTCTTCATGCAATGGAATGGTATAACTAAACAAGTATATGGACACAAAGCTTTATTAGTGCTTCTTAAGAGATTATAAATGATTTTAGGTCACATCTATAATTTAACAAATTAGAATAAGCCCAAAATGATCTAAGATTACTGTGGAATATATCTTTTCTCTGGTAAGATTTTAATATTAACTTATTAAGACTTGATTAATTAATATTAATTATTAATTGCTTTCAGATGAACTCACTTTGAAAGGCCAATAGTCATGAAATGTGGTGTGAGTTACAGAAAGGACAGTAACATTTAAACTCATGCTATTAGTCATTAGTATGATTTCCCAAAATTTTATTTTCATGTTTGCATTATTAAACCTTTAAATATTTTATAGTAAGGATAGTTCCTATGGGCTATTAGTTATCTTTACATCATATAATTTCTTTAAGAGTACTCACACACTTATACTTTCACTAGGTTGTAGGTTCTAACCAGAGCAGGTAAATCTACCTTCAACATTCCCCTCTGACCTTCGAGGCATGTAGTATGCAAGGCTGCTTCTGTATGTGAATATATGAATTTTTTGATCACTCAAAATGTCTTTTTCTTTCATTTTTCCCTCTGAGTTACATCACAACTATTCAGTCATCATCATTCAAGAAAAATATTGCACGGAAGCATGCATGTATGCACACAGATGGACTTCCTCTGTCCCTCTGGGTCAGGATTTGGAGAAAAGTAAAGGGGAATATGGAGGGGAGAGAATATAAGGAAGCATTCTGGTAGAAACTATCAGTTTTGGATTCTTAATTGCTTGGGGTATTTTTCTTTGGTTTTGGCTTTTTGGTTGGGTTCCGCCTCCCCCAACACAATGGTGCATATGTGAAATTCTTAAGGTGACTTAATTATCTAGGACGGAATTTTGGGCAGAATGAGTTTCAAGCAAAGGTGGACAGAGTAGGCACTAATCAGTACAACTTTTCAAATGGTTCTTTTATTTATTCTGTTATTGCTGTATGGAGGTCAAAGTGGGATTCAGTAGTAACTGTATAAAAATTTGGAAGAACAATTATGAAAATTTTATGGGCTTCTTCAATCTTAGTTCAGTCCTGGGAAAATACCTGAAATACCAGGATGGACTACTAGGTCATTTCAGCTATTCTCTCACTAAGCATGTAATATTTTTATAACTTTTATGTATTATTTATTCTTTGTGAAATATTTCCATTTTACCAGCCAGCTGCACTGGAGTCAATGTCCAATGGTTCACGTTGTGTACTCTGTTTTTAAGTGATTTATTTTTAATCATCTCAAGCAATAACCTCAGGAAGCCTTGGTCAGAAAAGATTCCCTCAGTTCTCCTCCCTGTTGTGTACAGGGAAACATTATGTTTTTAAACCTATCATTGCCTGAAGCTCATGTGGGACTAATGGGTTGTCAGGAGTCTTCTGCAGGCAGGACTGAAATGACAGTCCAACTTACCATCTTCAGACAATGTTACCTTGAGGCTATTACTGCGTTACAGTCACTGTTAAGATGATGGAAAGACTGAAATAAAAAAAAAACAAACACAAAAAAACCCAAACGAAAAAAAGGAAAAAATATTAAACCCTCTAATTTTCAGTCTTCAGAAGCATGATACCTGTCTTATTTTAATGAACTAGGAATAAGAAGTGCCTGAAAACAATACTGAGAATATTCTGGTTAAACAAATCTGACTGATCCTTAAAATTACTTCATTTTTCCTCCCTCAGACGCTGAATCTGACCTGTACTGTATTTGGAAATCCTGACCCTGAAGTGACTTGGTTCAAGAATGACAAGGTCTTTGAACTTAATGAGCACTATGCTTTTTCACTGGAACAAGGGAAATATGCCAGTTTAACAATCAAGGGAGTGACCTCAGAAGATTCAGGCAAATATAGCATCCATGTTAAGAACAAGTATGGTGGGGAAAAAGTGGATGTCACTATAAGTGTGTACAGACATGGTGAAAAAATGCCTGAAATTAAGCCTGGCCAGCTTGCTAAACCCAGCCCAATACCACCATCAGAGGAAGTCCTCCAACCTTAGGACAAGGCAACATCCAGTACGAAGAAAAGCTTGATGCTATGTTTGACAAACAAAATAAAATACATGAGCTCTAGTTGAGGCATTCCCTCACAAAACTTACTGGTAATGTCCAGAGGGAAACTAAGCTTTTAAGAGTTTGCTTTAGGAGGTAGCTGTGCTATGGTGCTGTACACATTTGCAACAGTCTCATTTTGAATACGTGTAATAGGGTGTGACTTACAAATAGCAAAAAGCCTGCCAGAGTTTACCATATACAAAGGCAAGTTGCACAAACCTACAGTAAACCTCCATTTCCACCCTTCCCAACCCTCTGCAAAAAGCCCCAGACAACTCAATCACCCTCTGCGAAAAAATGTCCCATCAGTAATGGTAGAGAACTACAGTTAAGTAATATTCAGAAATAGTTCCTGCTTTGTTCGACACACAGTTCCTTTGGCTTTGAAGCCTCTGATCCTGTAAGTCTAGTGGGTAGCACCTCTTTGGTAGTGATACCATTGTTTTATAGTTGTAGCATAGGTCACATGGTTGTATGTTGGTTTTCTTTTTTTGTGTGATAATAAAACTTTAAAAGCCACCTTTGCTCCTCACTGCTCCAAATGACACCTAACAAGTTCTGTTTACTCTATTTCATTGTTTAATTATTACTTACTCTACAATTTCACAGCTGGCAGCATGCAGACTATCAACTTTCAATAAAGAATAAAAATTATGGTTAATCACAGTCACTGAATGGCACTTCTGATGTTAATTTACTCTTTACAATACAGGTCAAGATGCAAGCTTAAACTGGTACCAAAATACATGTATACAATTCAGTAACTTGAGATAATTATATCTTTGGTTCTCCTCTATTCAAAATGAGTAACAGAATTCTTCCATGGGTGAATTTATATCCTGCTAGGCAAAGATTTCTGTATATGTTTATCATGAATTGATCAGATAGAATGGACTTCAGTGAGATTACTCATGTATCATCTGTCATACAACACATGAGTTCTTGAAGCACTGGCTATGTCAGATCAGGTTCCCTGTCCAAGAGAATTTCATTTATATACCTAGATGAACCTTTGTAATTTGCTAAGCAGCTTCCAGCAGAATTCTTCTAATGGTAAGTAACACTGGTGGTACAAACATCCCAGATCCAGCCCTCCTCTCTTGTGACTTCTTGCAGTCTCTAGGATAAATGTGTGGGAAAGGAGCATTGTGGGAGAGAGGGGCGCTTGGATAAGAGAAATTGCACTCTGCAAGATCTTCACTGGACAAGCTGGATGAAAGTATTTGGCACAACTATCAGGAGTGTAAGGGAAAAAAAAAGTGACCCCCCACCCCCTCAAAAAAAACCCAACAAAACAGTTTCAGAGTAAATTTACTTAATCTCAGGGGTTTTTTTTCTTTTTCTTATCTAAGTTTTTCTTTCGTTTTTCTTATCTACAGTAAGTGACATAGACCTTCCATTGTTTTGTCTGGCAAGCAAATACTTCACTTGATTAAAAAAAAAGTTTTATTTTTGAGACAGATGAAAAGCAATGGTAATGAGAAGCGAATTTACAAGCTGCCGGATACAGTAGCTTGGAACACTCATCTGGGAGAAAGGAAAGCAGCATTACCCTTCCCCCTCCTCTCCATCCATGGGGATTTGGACCTGTATCTCTTAACACCAAATGCAGTGTACTAATTCCCAGACTTCTCTGTATTTGGAAATGCTGCTTCTATTTATCCTTTTTTTTCACTAGTTTGAGTAGGCAAACTGAAAAAGAGACTAGACCTAGGAAACCTGCTTCTCACATGAGCATGTTAAATGCTAGATGTACAAGTTTTTTTTCCATTTCTTGTACTTTATCTGAGTTTTCAGTATTGGAGGGATTGAAGGTGTGGTCCTGTAGATGATTTAAGAACCTGATAATGAGCAGATAATGATGAGGATGGATTCACTGTAGTTTCGAATTCCTTAAGTAAGAAAGACTGCAAGGATCCTTTACAACTCACAGATATCTGTGAATAGTCATGATAAAAAACAACAGGCCAGCTCTGGTAAGGAAACAAACTTTAATCACACTTTATTAAAAGATGCTTTGATTTTAAATAAACAGCTTTAAAAGATTTTTCTACTTAGAGCCAATCAACAGTGAACCACATTCTGTGTCTGCTCATTGAAAGAAAGTGCCCAAGATGGCTAAAGTCTCAAGACCGTGATATTGCCAGAAGATAATTTAGAATCACAGAATAGTTAGGGTTGGAAAGGACATTAAGATTATCTAGTTCTAACCCCACTGCCATGGGCAGGGACACCTCACACTAAACCATCTCACCCAAGGCTTTGTCCAACCTGGTCTTGAACACCGCCAGGGATGGAGCATTCGCAACCTCCTTGGGCAACCTATTTCACTGCCTCACCACCCTTACAGTAAAGAACTTCTTCCTTATATCCAACCTAAACTTCCCCTGTTTAAGTTTTAACCCGTTACCCCTTGTCCTATCACTACAGTTCCTAATGAAGAGTCTCTCCCCAGCATCCCTATAGGCCCCCTTCAGATACTGGAAGGCTGCTGTGAGGTCTCCACATAGCCTTCTCTTCTCCAGGCTGAACAGCCCCAACTTTCTCAGCCTGTCTTCATACGGGAGGTGCCCCAGGCCCCTGATCATCCTCATGGCCCTCCTCTGGATTTGTTCCAACAGTTCCATGTCCTGTTTATATTGAGAACACCAGAACTGCACACAATACTCCAAGTGAGGTCTCACAATAGCAGAGTAGAGGAGCAGGATCACCTCCTTCAAGGTGATCTCTCCTTAGGAAATTTTATCAAACAATCAAACAAGGATTTTTCCTCCAAAAATCCATCAAAATAAGAATTTATTTTTCTCATATGAATCTGTCATCACAAGACCCTCAGAAAATCTTCCAATAAAATAATTCAAATTTTCTTCTTTTCTACTCTAATTTCTTATTAAAGGCCTGTAAGTTTTAAAAAATCTTACAATTGAGGGCTTACAAAACATCAGAGCCAGTCTCTGTAGCGTACAAAGTGAGTATCAGCAAGATTTTAATATTATTCTTATCTCCTTCTACAGTACACAGGTTAATTTTAGCTGACACTATCAAATTACTGCATGTTATGGCAGCTTTTCAGAGGTATCCTTGGGCACAGGAGACAAGGTTAGTCTCATCTCAGTTGTACTGTTAGCTGGCCTTCTTAGTTAAGCAAGCTTCACTTATTTCCTTCTGGGCAAAGAGAAATAATTTATTATGACAGTTAATCCTCTGATGAAGTACAGAAATTATAATTCACAAGAACGTTGCATTCAAAAGACTTTCTATAAACTGCTTCACGTTTTTTAGTACTCAGTGTACCTTTGATTCTTTTGTATACATTTAAAAATCTTGTTATTAGTGCTAGAAAATGAATGGGATCAACTCTGTTTAAAAAGGAGTATCTTTTCAGAGCAAACATGCATCTAGTTGTCTGGAGGGGCAACACAATTGCATGCATATTAGAGGGACAAATAACATGCTCTGGTAATCAAGTCAGATAGAACACATGATGAGGCATATTAGTGTTTGCACACACCCTTCACAGTCTTGGCTTCAGCATTATTTTAATTAATAACCATTCTGGAGGGGGAAGAGAAAAAACAAGATTCGCTGGAGAAGGTCTGATGCCAAATGATCCTACTCACACCATGGTTAAGGGAGATTGACTCAGTTACACTGGATGTGAATCCAGCTTGTTATTTTTACAAATCCAGGCACCGATTACAGTGAATTAGCTATTTCTGCTACCTTTAAGAAGAAATGTTTCTATTAGAATGCTTTTCTGTCGCACTGGTGAGTTTTGTGTTTCTGAGTTTCAAGTTGCGCTTTTCTAGACAGTGCTAGCGTGAAATTGAGCATCATTGACTTATCACGGTAGACAGGTGCCAGCAGACTGAACTCATGGCTGTGTCTGTCGTGTTGGCATTCTGCTACAAGGCTGGCAAGCCTTCTTTTCTCCAAGCACCTGCTTCCTTCAAATCAGCTTTGATTTGTTACTGTTTATTTTCTTGAAAACAAGTTCTGTTTTCAGAACAAGGCCAGCTTACAGGTGCTTTTTATGAGGAAGAGATTATTTTTTTTTAATGACAGTACTTGCCTCTAGTGTAGCTCTTTCCCCAGCACATAAGCTTCACTTGCATTCCACAACTCAAAAATCTGTGGACACCTCATTAATCTGCTCTTGTGTGGAGACAAAGGTTCTGTGATAACAGGACTCTAAGTGCTGTTAATGCGCAGAGAATTTTTAAGGAAAACTTGTGAAATATAGTAAACCACTTGATTTGTGTTCTGTAGAATTTAAGACTAAGACCTCTAGATGGCACCAGAAGAACAAGATAGAAATGAGCAGATCTTAAAAAATTCTGCAGCTATAGCATATCCATCACTTTGATGCAAACACATCACTGAGGGAATGGGAGATTATGAAAAGCATTACATTTATGCCAGTGACAAGGATGGGTCTAGCAAATGACTGTTTCCTGGAAATAGCAGGTGATTTTGCAAGCAATAACACTGCCTCTTAATCTTTGCATGACACACATGAAGAGGTTAAGCATGTCTTGTAAAATACTGCAAGACTCATGTTACTTCAAGTTTCTCCTTAGGATATGAAAACCACAGTGTACCGACTCTTTTTGTGAAAGGAGATTTGAATTGGAGCTCTAAAGGCAAATGTCTCAGGCTTATCAGCTTCCACATGTTTTCACACTGTTTCCAATACAGCAAGGCCCATGTCCTGCTATTTTTGTTCAGTCTTTACAGAGAGATGATTCCATTTGAAATTAAGGGGAGGTCTGGGACCAAAGAGCACAGGGTCTGACTCTCAGCTCTGCTACTGCAAGATTCAGTAAAGACCTGTAAGAAACTACTAATAGCCTTCAATATTAATATTTAATTCCTCATTGGAATGTGCAGTATCTCAGTACCAGCTTTGTCCTTGGGTATTAGCTCAAGGTTTATCACGTTGTTATATTTTAAAAATAGCACACTTGACCTCACATAATTTTCTTTATGAACATTTGAACTTTGTGTGGGTGCATTAAAGGACTGTTAACTTGTGATAAACTTGTTTTGTTTTTTAAGTTAGTGTAATGTCACTTTCTGTTATTCTTGCTCCCCTATTACATTAATATTGTGCTGCAGAGAGTCTGATAGGAGAGACCTAGACACCCTACTGCAGTTAGAAGTACTGTGGTTAATAGTTGCAGCTAAAGACTTTCCCATGGTATTCTAAACTATCCAGCAGAGTTGTCCCATGCGGATTTCACTGGGCATCAGCATTCCCCATGACAGAATTTGCCCTCCACCCTGGTGAGAGCTTCTGCAGGAAGCCATTATCCATCTGATGACGTTGGTGCACACAGCATGTAGAAGAGAGGCAGATGGAAAGAGCTACAACTGCTGTTAAAGATAGAGCCAGTGTAGCTCTTTACCATTTTATATCATGGTAAAAATGATGATCAAAATTTTAGTCTGCTGACTTAGTGACCTCCACTGGACCATTTAGAATGAAGTGCACTAAAAGCCAATCCAACAGTTGTAAATCAACCCCAAATCCAGCCCTCCTGATTACAAGACAGTATGTGAAAAAGAGCCCCATATAGTCATGTGCCACTTTAGCTGTCTGGGAAAAAATGCCTTCGACATATGAAAATGGCAATCAACCTCCTACATGGTGCTTAATGGGAGGT